AAACCATTTTTGCTCAACACAGCCTTTTTTAAGAACATTGAGTTCGACCAAAATATAATCAACTTGGATTTGCATTTTTTTCTGTTGCTTTGGAAGGATTAAATTCCTTTGGAATAGCAAGCAATATTACATTTGCTAAGTGAGTCTCCTCCTCTTTAGAGAAAGAATTTTAAATACAATTTTAAAAGCATTTGAAAAATGTTATTAAACAAGATAATAGGGCTTTAAAGGTTGGAAACTAGAGGGTGCTAGAGGATAACAACAGAATGCAAGGAAATATTGTAATAATGAACATTGATGGAAAATTATGAAACGTCTTTGAAAATTTATGACAAATGAGCTTTGAAATGATTGGAAATGATGGATAGATGAACTGTTAAGGATGCAGTGGAAGAAGAACAAGATACTCTGGATAAGTTTGAAATTAATCTGAAAGTGGATATAAATGTGGCAAGTAATGAGAGGGATGGAGAAAAGAATGTACTGGACTTTCAAATGAAACAGGATGATGCTTCAGTGCCTAAAAGACATCAAACCAGAAAGGAGATGTAGATATTTTTGTTTTACTTGATGTACAAAGAAGATCTGTCAGAGTTTTGAAGGGTTTTTTGAGAAAAAAAAAAGATTGAATTCCTCTTACTGATTGTACAAAAGTTCTGAAAGATTTTGATGAAAAGGATAAAACAAAGATGACAAGAAACCAAGCTACAGGAGTCTATTTGACTGGGTTAAGAGTTCAGATTTTTTAAATGTATAGGGAAGTAATACAAAGCTGGCTTATTTGATCAAAGTTAAAGGGACAATATAGTTATATCTGTCAACCCTTACTGGACTTTTGCTGATAAGGAATGAATGAAAAGATTTGGAATTTTAATTTTAGTTAACAGATGAAACAGAGTGAAGAGCAATGCCACAAATGACTCTGTAATATAGGCATTGGATAAGCAATATTCCCTCATAGTTAATGGGGCAAGGGAAAGAAAGATCGTCTAAACCAATAGTTGGGTATGGTCATCCCACTTTAGGCCTTCACTTTCATGAAACCTCTCTCTAGTCTTTGGGAGGCATTAGAAACACATTTTGGGACTTGAAGGACCGATCTTAGAAATTTGGATTGAACAAGTTTGAAGATTGCAAAATTGGAGAAGGGGCATAGCTGGGCATCATAAAGAAATTGTGCTATAGGCTTGACTTCTATTAATTCAAATGCTGCAGATATATTTATTTTATTTATTCATTTTTTAAAAAAATCTGTAAATTGATTTCTAACTGGTTTTACTTGCAGTACTAAGTTAATGCTCTCAGGGTTCTTTTAAGGCCAGTATGTGTTTTAAAAAATATTGCTGCATTGCCTGCATAGAGTAGAAGAAAGATGTGAAGTTTTGGAGAGTGAAAGTTTGTGTAGAGGAGATGGCCCACCATTGAGTTCATATGGAAATTGAATAAGAATGGGACCAATATGCAGCCTTGCTTGACACCCTTTTCAGTTCTAATGGCACTTGTAAGATGATCCTGGGGGTTACATATTACTTTGAGTGAGATCTCATTATGAAACAAACGTTAGATGAACTAATTGTTGGTAAATTGAGGATGCTTCCATTTTTCCAATATTTATCTATTAAATATTAAAATATTATTGTAGAAATTGGTCTCTTTTCTTGCTCCTGACAAAGTGCACAAATATATCTCTTGGTACATTTCTAAGCTTTGCATGTCATGTATTAATTTTGTACCCTTTGTCCAGTTCTGCATCCATCTGTTCTTCATCCCACCAAAAATGTTAAAAATTCATATTAAAGAAACCCCCCTCTAATATCTTCACCAGCTTTCTCTGAAACAGTTCTCAGTCTTAAAATACTTTCTCTCTTATAGTACCACATTATCTAAATCTTTTTCTGTCTCTTAATTTATTATTTCTGTTTTATTTTCCAACATTTCCATTTTGTCTTTAATTTGTTTAACCTTTCCACTCATTTGTTTCACAGATTCTTCAACATTTTTATTCATCTTTTTTTTCATATTTGCAAATCTTTCCTCTGTTCTCCTTTCAAATGAAACTAGATCTCTCTTAACACTTATGCTGTAACATTCTTCCCCAATGCTTCAAAATAATCTTTGTAAAATCTCTGACATAAACCCTTTTCCCGTTATTTGCTGTTTGCTCTCTCCAGCCTTTTTTGTTGCTTTTCTAGTAGTAGCTATTTCTATTCTTTAATATGTAATCCAAAAAGTAAAAGTTAAAGAGATTCCTCCCATTTTTTCTGTATCTTTATCTCTTTCATCCCATTTGATACTCATGTAGTCACATAAGCTTTTGCAACTTTCCCTTATCTTTGTTTAACAAAACCAACTGTCCTTTTTAGCAAGTTCAAACAGTTCCTACAGAAGTATGTATTATTTATTTAATTAATTTAAAACTATTTTAAAATAAACAATATTTCAACTTCATCTGCTCCCTTTAGTCTTTTTAAACTTTCTTAATTCAGACTCTTGGAAGGCTTTTTCCTTTTAACTGGTTTTAAATCCTTGCAATTATTTCTTTTCTTTTTACTTTAAACCTGTTAAAAGGATCACTCACTAGGTGGCTTAGTAGCTGTGCTGCTTGGAAGATCTCTATCGCTTTTAAAATTATTGTGATCCAAATGTGCACTAGAAAATGGAGTGCGTGAATCCAGTGTCCTTAAGCAGTCTTCACATGAGGCTGTGAGCCTGGTATTTCTTCTTTGGCTCCTTGTTTTTTACTCATGAGTTGCTTGGAGAATCCCTCCAGATCTTGCAGGTTTCCTTGCAAGGAACTGTCTTTTAGAGCTCAAGGGTGCAATCTCCTACCTTCTTCTTGCTCAGATTTACCACTCATTCATCAGTCTCCACCTCAGTATCATCTCCACTGTTCAGAAACATTTTGGCCTGCTATTTTCTGAATCCCAAAGTAATTTTAAAACTAACAATAATAGAGTCCCCAATCACCAAAAGTGTGGGCTTGTAACTTGTGAGGAGTCCTTGCACAAGCTAACTGCAGGAGCAAAAGTTGCCTGGTGGTGCTGTGGCATAGGCTGAGCCAGGAGCACCATGTAGCAGGAATTCCCTCTCGGTCTGAGCTGCAGAAAGTGCCAAGGGACCGTGCTGTTGCAATTAAGTTGAGGCAGCAATCTTGTGCCTTTTCCCCAGACAGAAGGCCCCCGCATTGGTAGCTGACCTGCTTCAGACCTTAGAGCCTCCAGTGCATGGAGGAGCACCTCTCTCCAAAACAAGTTGCATTAATTCCTTTCCTCCTTTCAAAAGACTGTTAAATTCATTTCTCTCCATCCTCCAAAGGAAGTTTAATTTCCTTTCTCCCTTAAAAAAAAAACACTTAAAAAATCAATGGAAGGTTCTGAATGGCCATGTCAAAACCTGGATCTAAATCCCATCAGTGATTTGAAACAGGCTGTGCATGGAAGAAACTCCTCAGACATCACACAACTGAAAAAACATCCTCCCATTAATGTCAGAGACTAATAGATATAAGAAACGCCTACTTAAAGTTGTTTCTGCTAAAAGGAGCAGTACCATATGATACAACAGTAGTGGGCCTTATTCAGGATGACAAGGTGGAAGCTTACCGCAAGGTGGTTGAAGGGTTGGTGAACTGGTGTAAGGAAAACAGCCTAGTTTTAAATACCGGAAAAACCAAAGGGATCATTGTTGATTTCAGAAAAGGCAGGCACAGCCACACTTCTCTGTGCATAAATGATTCACCTGTGGAGATGGTTACCAGCATCAAATTTCTGCGCTGCATGAGAAAAGCACATCTTCCTTCCCCTGTCCTGACCACTTTCTACAGGGGGACAATCGAGAGCATCCTGTCATACAGCATCACAGTCTGGTTTGGAGGCATCACTGCTCCAGACAGGAAGGCGGTGCAGAGAGTGGTGAGAATGGCCGAAAAGATCATTGGCAATACCCTCCCTCCCATCCAGGACATAGCACAGAAGCGCTGCTTGAGCAGGGTCCGTAAGATTATCTGGGACACTACACATCCTCTTCACAACCTGTTTTCCTTGTTACCTTCTGGGAGGAGGCTTCGTGGTATCCGAAGCAGAACATCCAGATTCAGCCATAGTTTCATTCCATACAGCATTAACCTTGCGAACTCTCAAGCTTCTTCCTTCTGTTATATATTCAAGATGGACAATATTTAATATTTATTTGCTATGTATATGTAGGGATGTGGGTCTATACATACGTTGTTCATAGTATGTTTAGGTGTGTGTCATGTATGTGTTTCACTTTGAGAGCGGGCAACTAAATTTCATTTTTGATTTGTGCCATTGTGCCCACAGTATAAAAATGACAATAAAGGTTATCTTAACTTATCTTATATACTAGAACTCAGGGTGCGCTTATTTTTTCCATGGAAGGAAATGGCATACTGGTTCATTTTTCTTTTAATAAATGATTCCATAGACGATTTTCATAGTTTTTCTTTAGCTTTATATACTGGTTGGATGAAGACAAAATATTAATATATCCACATATGTTAAAAAGGGGGGTGAAACTAAATTGGGTATATAAGCTATACATTAGCCACAGAGTTTTGGAGAGATTGTGTATAGGAATTGCTCTTAGAAGTTTTTTTTTTAAAATAATAATATACTAAAATATTATCTTAATTAAATATTTTAGGATGATTGTATAATGTTGTTTAAGGAAAGGTGAAATTCCACATGACTCAAAACTGCAGTCCTTCTAAAACTTTTCTCTTTTACTGGGGATTTTTTTTAAGAACTCAATCCTTTGTTTAGGTGATTTCAGATCAGTGGGAGAGTGAAAATAACTTATTGTTTTCTCCTTCAAAATACTAGTAATGAAAGGCAAGATAAGCAAGGACAGAAGATTAAAAAGTGAATGTTATAAGTGAATACTATTTTAAGCGAATCTGACAAAAGCCCTTTCTTTTATGCAAAGGCGTGCTTTTTTAATTTGATATTTTAACAGTGAAAATCTTTTCTGCCTTCTAGGGAGAGGGAGGAGCACCTGACTCAGGTGATGGAGGCACAGAGACTACAAGCCCAGCAGGCTGATGCTGCCTTGGAGGAGTTTAAGCGGCAGGTGGAGCTGAACTCAGAAAAAGTGTACGCAGAAATGAAAGAACAGGTGAGAAGGTCACAGGGCCAGCCTTTCTGGAACTCTCTGTCTCAGTGGGAGAGCATATTCTTGTTTTATATGGCTAGAAACATATTTCACTTGATTCTGGAACATCAAACTCTTTCACTATGTAGTAGCTTTGCCTGGGAATCAGAAGAAAAGATGTCAGCAGCTGATTAATCTTTTAACACAGGATTTTCCAAAACCCTCCATGGTTTTATTACTGAATAGGATTTTTCCAAATAAATAAATTATTAACCTGCATCCTGTTTGGGGCTTGGGTTTTATAGCTCATTGTTTTACCTCATTCATTTTCTAAAACCCAGCTTAGCCCTACCTTCCAGCTATCTTTCTGAAAAATGTTACCTTAATTTCTAAAGTCAGCGTTGCTATGATATATGGTATGATAGTGGAATAATGTCAAACATGTTCCCCCCTTTTTTATTAATAAAGCCCTTTGTATTTCATTGTAATCTTGCAGAGATCATCCTTGTTGGCACAACTCCCTGAGGGTAAATAAAAGAGTCAAAGCAAAATGAATAAATGTTTCTTCAAATGCCATATATTTTCATCAAATGAGATATTTTAATAATGATAAAAGTGGACATGGTCAAAAGTATTGGTACTCCTCCAACTCCCCAAAGAATCCCAATTGGTTATCATTTTCATTTGTTTTATGATTTATAAGAGAGCCAGTTTGGTGCAGTGGTTAACGCATTAGACTAGAAGCCATTAGACTATATCATGACTTCTAGGTTTGCCTTAGGGACAAAGCCAACTGGGTGACTTTGAGCCAGTCATTTCTTTCAGCCTTAGGAAAAAGGCAATGGCAAATCACTTATGAAATCTTGCCAAGAAAACTGTAAAATTGCCTAGGCAGCCACCAGGATTCAAGATTGACTTGAAGGCACCCAAAAAGGAAAAAAAAATGCAAAAATATATTAAGTCATTCATCAAAAGCAAAGTGTCCACTCTGTGGACTATGGAATAAAGAATGGTGGATGTCATTTATTTGTGTCAGGTTCAATTTATTTCACAGCACATTGAGATTTTGGGGATGGGGATAAGTGGTAGGGTACCAGTAGTTTTAATCAAATCTGTATTTAAAGTCCCAATTCCCCATTACTTTCCAGGAGTTAGTGGTAATTGTTATAGACCAGGGGTGTCAAACTGCCAGCCGTAGGCTGTCACGCCAAAACCGCGCCCACCCCATTGCTGGCAATGGGAAAAAAGTTGCGATACGTCGCGACATGTCACGTGAGGTTGCGAGTTTGACATCCATGCTATAGACAGCCTTGCCTATACGCAGCATGAAAAAAGTGTTGTGTTTGAGATTGAGTTGCATGATTGTGGTTCACCTTTCTGTACACATATCCCTCTTCAGATTCTTAATACACGGAAGGAGCAGTTATGTTTTCATGACATAAAAAATAAATATCAATTGTGTTTAGCTGATAAAATAGAATTATGAGAATTGTCACATTTCTATAGGATGCTTTGACCTGTATTTGTAATTTGATCAGTACCAATATTTGGGACATATTGCATTCTATTTCTAAAGCTTGATATGAATTCAAGTTTTTGTCCTTGATTTGTTCGCTTACATCACAAATGAACAAATGAACTTACATGAACACATTTTTGATAACCAAAACTTAGCACTTAGCATATTGGTGGGAGGATTGAAGATTGCCAACTATGTATACTAAACCATACTTGAGGATGTGTTGAGATTTTTGTGAAAACTTCATCATTTTAAAAAAGGTATAATGTGTAGTATTATACTACACCCTATATTATAGCGTATACCTGTTCCACACTTCAGAATTGCAGCACACTAGCACCGGTTTTCAGGAATCACGGTCAAAGGGGAGTTCAGACAGGCATTTAGATTTCTGAAGTGGGCTTCCTTCTTTCCACCTAACAGAAAAGATTAACATAATGGTACATTGACTCAAAAGGAACAGTTCTTTGAAGTTTTTTTTTTATGATTGCTATTAAGCTTGGCACACCTATGGTAGATTTGTTTGTGATGAAAGAAGACAACCAATTGTCTCTCTTACAATTAAGATACCCATGTGTAGAAACTCTGGGAACATGACTGCTGTGCTATTCAACCTAGAGAAATGGTGGTCGGAATGAGTTATGATGGTATAAGAGAGAACAGCCTGATTGCTATTCCTTTGTGTGTGGTGCAGGGCTTGATTTTCCCAGCCTCACCCCCATTGAACATTTGCATGAAGACTCAAGGAGATGTAAGTTGAAAGTCTGAAGTTTAATATTAATACCGTGATGATATTCAGTGTTACCTCACTAATCCAGACTGGTGATGTAATTGAGATCCTATCTCAGTGCTGGAGGCTGTGAGAACAGACATAAACTGAATTGTAGCACGATGCTGTTATTATTTGTCTGTGCAGGTTCTCTGTCTTCTCCAGTAGTTTCTTTGGATTGCATAGTAGCAAGTACATAACTTGGTGTTTTTTTTTCTGGAGTCATGACTCCTGCTAGAAGAAAAGGGAAGCTGTTGTCAAGGGAGACTTTCCCCCTGTTTTGATAGTATACAACATGTGGCCCTGTTGGGGTGGGAAAATCTTCATATGATAACATCTGCCCTTGTCACAATCATTTTAGACTACTGCAGTCTGCTGTACATGGGGCTGTCTTTAAAGATCACTTGGGAGCTGTGGTTGGTTCAAAGTGCAAGGGCCTTGTGGCTTACTGCATTTGCAGTGGAGCACATTACACCTCTACATTGAGCCTTGTACTGGTTACTAACAGGCTTTGGGATACAATTTAAAATGGTGCTAACTTGTAAGGCTATACAGAGTCTTGGTGCCTAGTTATTTGTAGGACTACTTTTCCCATTGGAATTAGTCTGGCCAGTTTGACCAACATGAAATTACTAGCCTGGTCTCATCTTAGACAAATGAAGAAGTCAAGGCTTAGGAGCCTGCTTATTGGTGATAGTCCAGTCCTTTGAAAAGCCTCCTCCTTTAACATCTGGTTGGGTCCCAACCTGATTGCCTTCTAGAAAATGCTCAGAACAGAGTTTTTTCAGGGGGAATTTGGATCCTGATACCATTTTGGTTTATTTATATTTTGGTTATTTCTTAATTTTATTTTGTGGTTTCATATTTGCAGATGAGTCTTTTATACACTGCAGATTGTTTTTTGTCTTCTAAATAGTGAGAATGCTTCTGGATTTGGTGGCCCATAAATAGGATGAATAAATAACTATAACCAAGAAGTCGACTTCCAGTTTGCCATCATGGCCGTCGCGGCCGCTGGGAGGCGATTTCTGTCTTCCACGTTTGATTTCGTTCTGCTGGGGACCCTGAAAAGGGTCGAAAGTCGCCCTGTAGGGGTGACGAGCAAGGAGGGGACCCCCGCTTGATGCGGGAGGGCAGTAGCCCTTCCGCTCGATCCGGGGCAGCCCTCCACCTGGCAGAGGAAAGACCAGCCATAGCAATATGGCTCGTCACTAAGCTGCAGGCAGCTGAAGTCAAACTGACCATCAAGCACTTCTAAAGCAACGCGGATGAAACTGGGTGAGATCTGATCTTCTCTTTAAGATCTTAAGTATTTTTTTTTCCTGTAAAAGCTGCCCAACGTATCTTTTCCCCCTGTGAGGAGAGAGGGAAGGGAATTTCTACCCCACCCTCTAAGAATAGCGGCGACTGACTACCCAGGGGAGTTAAAGCACTAAAAGAACAATTTTAATCTAATTGGATTTATATGTTTCTGAAACTTGGGGACCAAAAGTTTTCTTATTTTTACTGGAGACTTTTGTTTTTATCTACAAAAAAGAAATAAAACTGGAAAAAGGATTATAACAATTTTGGACTTAAAAAACTTTAAAAGGCATTGGTGACATCTTGTGGCGAAGTTTGGTATTACAACTTATTGCCTAAAAGAGACTTGGCTTGAAGCCCAGACTTCAGATAAAACTCTTTCTACCTTGATAGATACCAACTGTGAGAAACTCAGCTGTAAAGAGAATTTCTGGGTGGCATAATTGGCCTGCTTGAACTATGAATGTAAACCTTTACTGACTTTCAGAGCTATATGTGGGGAATTGCTTTCCTATTTCTTTATCTGAGAAACATTTGTTACTACACGAGATGATGGAATACCTTGGACTATAAAATTTTACTTGACAAATGACTTCTACTATAAAGACCACCTATAATAAGTGAAATAGAGGTCCCATACCTAGTTATAAAAAATATTTTTAACATCTGATTTTTAAAGTCCTCAACTTAACACACTATTAAGAGAATATGGATGAAGACCAGGAAAAGACCCTTTCCATAATGAAAGCAATACATGAAACCATTCTTTCAACTTGTGACAAAATAAGATGCAACATAAAAGAACAAGATGCCAGCTTAGACATACAAACCCAAATTTTGACTACAACCAAAGAATTAACAATGCAGAAGATAACAGAAGAAGTGGAACAATCAAATACTAAGACAGAGGACTCAATTGACCAACAAATACAGTTAATGGAAAATCCAAAAAAGGGAGTGACAACACTGAAACTGGAAAAGACTTTCTGTATAAATCAGAAGAAATTTGAGGAGAAAGAAGAAGAACATATTGAATGGAAGCTAAACATATCAGGACAATCATGGGGAATTGGAATAATAGGGAGACGATCTAATGAACACAAATGGGCTAGCCCTTCCAAAAAATGGCAACTAAATGGTCTCTCTTATTTCAAATAATATATATAATAATAGAGGGAGATCTATTTGATGATTTAAAAGCACAGACATGGAAGGCTAATTGGCAAAGGAAGAAAGCCAGAATAAGGCTGAAGAAAATTGGGGTTTTGATTTATTAGAGGGGATTTTATATTAATAATTAAAGGGTTAAAGGGAGAAGTTGAGATAAGGGGAATTTTGATCATTTAATTTAAGATATTTGGAAATTAGTTGAAAATAAGGATTTTATTTGTATAATATTTAAAAATTAGACCCAAAAGGAAAAAAATATGAATATGTTTGATTTATTGATTAACCTAGACAATACATATAATGGTTTTGATTTATTGAAGAGGATACTGTATTATTAATTAGATGATTTAATATGGTGGGAAATAGATAACTTTTAGAAAATAAAACAAGACTAAACTCAAATACATAAGATGTGTATTTTGAATATTAGATTCTGTTATGAATTGAGATAAGGGAAACTTTGGTTACCTAAACCCTGGAAATTATAAATATCAAATGTTAAATTTAAATATTGATGGGAAACTAAAAATTGGGAAAAAACCAATAACAGGACATTGATTGTCTATAAAGATTAAATGTAAAAGTAATTAAGATATATATATAAGCTAAAATTTATTGATAAATGTAATAATGATGTTTTTACTTACTTGATATAATAAGAACTGTATTAGCTTAAATACGAGACAGTAGATGTTAAGGGGAAAAGAGAGGAAATATTTGATGTTGTAACTTGAGATTTGTACTAAAGATTTTTATATGTTATTGAATATTGATTAACCCAGCCACCACGTTGCTTTTTAAATACTTAAATGAAAAATTGGAAAATTAATAAAATATTATTTAATAATAATAATAATTTGGCTGTATAAATGGGAAGATTTAATTTTCAAAAAAGTTAAGCTCTTCCATAAACCTCTGAAAAAGATGTCAGAAACAAAGATGAGAATCAAGTCTTTCTCCATAGCTGAGAAGCAAATCTCCAGAATAAGATTTGCTGGTATTTTTCTTCTGTTGAAACTGTCAGAGTTTCTAGATTTTCTTTTAGTAACTCTCTTTACATATATATATTGTTTCTTATTTTAAGTAAATGCATATGTAATGAAACCTCCACATACTTATTTAATAAATATAATGATACCAAAAAACACATGATTTCCAAGATAAATGTCTTTGAAAGAACACAAATGGAATGCAATAAAATCTTCAGCACTTTAAGTCCTATTCTTTTGGTTTCAATAAATAGCACTTGAGGCTTTTAGATTTTATCAGGTGTAAAATTAGATTGTTCTTCAATGATATAAGATTCTCATCTGATAACATTTTAAATGACTGAATTCGTGCTTATTTTTTTTAATGATCTGTGTTTATCAGCTTGTCACTTTACTGATAAAACAGTGAATCTCATTTTTAACTGTTAATGGATAATAGTTTTTAAGATTTTGATGGTGTGGAAATAATTACACTATCTGCCATGTTGTTATGAAATTATGTACTCTTGCTTACTTCGTAGATGGAAAAGGTAGAAGCAGATCTTGGCAAATCAAAATCTTTCCGTGAGAAGCAGTCAAAAGAGTTCTCCTGGCAGTTGGAGGAGCTGAAGCAAAAATATGAACAACAGGTTAGTTAATGTTAAGAAAATGTTTCTTAATATTTTGCGTGTTGGGGGCCAATTACTTTATGCTGTCTTAGCGGTTTCCTTTTTATCGGTGATCTTGGAAGCCATTGACCTGCTTTCAAAGTGATTCATTGACTCACAGTTACAACGTTCTTCCTCTACTTGGTACCTGAGCAAATAGTTTTAATGCATCTCCAAAATTTTAAAACTTTCTGGTTATAGAGAAAAGCATAAGCTGTAACAGAAATTATTATAATAGAACTGAAATTATTTCCTCTATATGCTCATCTGATTTGGTTGAATAAATGAATGAACATTATCTTTTTGGTAAAAAAAATATTGCATTTACCCATAAGTGAAGATATTTTGAGATCAGAAGAAGAAATAGGTAGAATAAGAGGAATGGGAAGAATAAGAAGAATAACAAAACGTTTTAAAGTCAATTTATTCCAATTAATTAAAAAAACATTTTAAAGTCAATTTAATCCAGTTCAACAGATAATATAGATAATTTAAGCTGGGTGCTACATTGAGATACCATATCTATTGTCACGATAGAGATGAGTATCTTAACTTTTAGGATTTTCCTTTGTGACAAAATGCAACAAAAATTAAAATCCTCAACAATGGTATCAAATGGCTTTGAGTCTGTTTATTATTGATATGTAGGTAATAAGCTCATTATAAGATAAAAATTCTTTATCTGTATAAGCATTTATAACAAAAAAGCATTCCATAATATCTGTGACAATGTATATCAAAAATTCAAACTGATTCCTATTAAAATCTTCTATGATAATATTTCTCCTTGTCTTTGTTCCGAAAACAGAAATTGTTTTTTGAAATCTCAGACTAGGGATACAGCCATATTGCTTGTGGACAGGTGTTCTTGGGATGTAGGTTAGATTGGATTACTTGTCTTGAGCAGAGTGAGTTATCCGACTTCATTGATGAAATCCCATCTTCCACTGATGAAATTTCCCTCTCCTTGCAGTAACTTGCTATTTTAAAGATACAATTTCAGGGGAAAATTGGGAAATGGACAGTGGTTCCTAATTCTATAGGTCTCTAGATACAAATGAAATATAGATTGTATTGAACTATGTTTGAATAATGTCCTTTTTGCTGCTTGTGAGTGAAATGTGTTGAAATGTGTTGAAAAGAAAAAGACGGGGGCAGAAGAACAATCCCAAAATCACCCCCCCACCCTCCATTCTGAGTATTTTTGGTAGGACCCTGGATTTTGTTGGAGCTTTCTACATTGGAGATGGGATTGTTACAGTTCAGTCTCTTCCTTCGTTTATATTATCTTTTTTTGGAGGGCAGGAAGTAATTGGACAACTTTATTGTAAACGGTTTATATATATATATAGGGTTTTTCATGATCTTCCTAATCCTGCTTCTGCTTTCTACATTTCTTTTTTTATTAGTGTCAAAATTCATGTGTGTTATTTAGATACTAAAATATCTTTATATTTTGAAACTTGTCCTGCCTTATATTGTATGCATTCCAAATGCTGATTGAAATAGTTACACATGATACACTTAAGACACAAGAGCTAGTATCTTGCTCTGCTCTATGCATGAGGATTGAGTGAAAAATAATGCCTCCACATCTATAACTTTGAAAGGAACTATTTGTTACCTGGTGAGAACTATTGTGATTACTGTCTAGTAAAATATACAGCAATCACAATTTTTCTTGCCATTTTTCTGGTTATGATCGACAAGTTTTTTAACACTGTTATGAAAGAACTCTTTCTACTTCAAATATTCAAATATTTTGTTTGATGAAACAGATTCCCACTAAAGCAAGGGTCCCCAGTCTCTGGGCGAAGGCCCACTAGTGTGCCGTGAGTTGTTTGCAATTGGGTCATGGAAACGGTGAATGTGTGCGTGAGCAGCGGGTGAGCACATACACGTTCCATTTGCGTGAGTGGCAAGTGCACATGTATGCTGCTTGTGCAAATGGAGCTATGTGCATGCTTGCTGGCTGCTCACATGAACCATCCCTTCTCCCCCACCCTAGAAAGGTTGGAGAACTCTGCACTAAAGTATTCCTTTGATTTCAAGAAAAGGTTGTATGGTGCCAAATCTAGACTGTATGGCAGATAGGGTAAAATAGAGATCCCTGAATGAAGGCAAATATGCTTGTCCCAGGATAATGTTGCAGGATCCAATCTGGGTCAGTCACCAGGACCAGATTGTGCTGGAGCCCATCCTTAGGGAACTTTTCACTACCAACTTATCAGATACTTAGGAGCCGAGGACTTGGCAGCTCAAGGAAACAACAGCCAATGACTTAATAGCCAGCCATCCACACCCCAATCAACAAATAAAAAGACACACACCAGGCACCACATAAATACTAAGCATAGAATAGCCCAAAGCGCACATTCTGTTGAAGAGAATTCCCTGAGGATGGGCTCCACTATGAGTCCGAAAGCTCAGAAGACTAAACTTCTGGTCCTAGTGACTGACTCAGATTGGATCCCGAAACAGAGATCCATTTTTTCAATGAGTCATGAAATGTAATGCCTGGAGTTGTGTTGCAACAAAATTTCCAAACTGTCTTTCATTGTTATTTCAGAGTTTTGAGTGTTGCAGTATAGAGCTACAAGTTGATAGTACTGCTACTATAAGGGAATCCATGTGAATATCACCATTTGCCTCCCAAAAAACTTTAATTATGAGTTTTTCTGTCAAAGTCTGGTTCCCCCCCCCAAGGAAAGCATTGTGATGATTTCCCGTGGTTTGCCATTTGATTTCTGTGTCATAATGATGAGCCCATGTTTTGTCCATGTCATAATGCTGTTAAAAAAATCCTCATTCTCATTGTCATAGCATGAAGAATTCTTTGTAGATTTCAAGTCTTGATTGCTTCAGTTCTACCATCAGCACACAAGAAGCCCAACTTCTACCAACCTTCCAGTATTGAAGAATATTAGTAAGGTGACTCGCGTAGTTTTGTGAAATGCCAACCCTGACAGCAAGTTTTGCCTTCAGTGATCCACCAGTTGCTCTTAATTAATTCATCACTCTTTGTCATGTAAAAGTTGTTGGCTGTTGTCATAGGTCATCCACTTTGTTCTTCATAACACAATCATTAAATTTGGTGTCCCTCTGACGTACAGTGCTTATGTCATCATAGTAGTTACCATAAATAAATTGCATTCATGGTGAATTTCAATTGGCGGGGTTCCTCCTGCAATCCAAAATTCAATCACAGTGAATTTGCAAGCTTCCATTTCATTGCAAGCTTCCATTTCATAAAAAATAGCAACACAACTCAACTTAGAGAAAATTCTTAAAATTGATCATTAAGTTATAATTTCAAGTCAACTATAGATGTAAAATGCATTTGCCTTAAAGCTTCACATTAAAGAGTTTACTATGTACGAGGCCCCATACAATCCTACCAGTATTTTTTTCTTTCAAAAGTTATTATAAGCATTCCTTGCAGATAAAATTATCATAAGGCCCATCTATTCCGTGCAGCCGGCCTGGCGTAGTTTGATTATGTTTTAGTGGGGGTTTTGTATGGGGTACTTTTAGAGCAGGCCTGTTATTTAATTTGATTTAGAACAGAAACTTGTGTATATTTATCGTGGTTTTTATTATCGCCTGTTCACCGCCTTGAGTCCCGTAAGGGAGATAGGGCGGTATATAAATTCAATAAATAATGATAATAATAATAAGCGCCCCATAGATAAAAATACAAATTTTGCATTTCAATTTTCTTCATGCTTATGGTTCAATTTTTCCCTCCAGCCCATTGGCTATCTGCATAAATGCTAATATAATAAACTGGAGCAAATCAATATTTATTTCTTTATTTTTTTAAAAAAATGTTTAAACTGCCCACTACCCCAATTTCTCTGAGCAGTTTACAATAAAACATATAATGGATTGTTGTATTTTGCTATGATCACTTAATTCAACTTTCTGTTCCAACTTTATTGTACCAAATTCCTCTAGAAGTTCATAGACATTTGAAAAGTTAATGATGATCTCTTTTCTATTACCAGCTAGTATTTATAAATATAAAATGAATCCTGGCATTTTACTATTCAATTGTTCTTGCATAGTTTATTTTGCAATGACAATAGGGACACAGGACTATAGTTTGGCATTATCTGTGCAACTGAATACACATTATAATTGTAAGATTTATTATAGGTTATATAAGTTTATTCCCGCAATTAATTTTCTTTGTGAGAGATATATTATTTCATCAGAACCTGGGCTCTGCTTAATTGCATCCCATCATCAAGACTATAGAAAATAATGTCCCTGAGGGTAGGCGACTGTTCCATAAACAAAGTTCTTGTCTAGACAATTTCTCATGCTTTGTATCTTCCACGATCTTCCAAATTTGATTTTGCTATCTATTTCTGTCATCTTCCCATCTTTAACTTGTGAGTAAAGCCCAGCTACAGCAAGTGATGCTTACCAGTGCATCAGTTTGCCATATCCTATGATGTTTAGAAACAGCTTCAACTTAGTCCCTCCATGTAGCTTCTTCATGAAATTGCTGAGTAGACTCCTTGGAAAGTTATTATTTTTGCATTTTGGAATAGACTGTGGTGATGTTATTTGGGTGTTTGGCCAGGATAATAAATTAGATGAGGACCTAGTTTGAGAAACGAGTGAAGCTGAGCCCTAGACTAGATAAAAAGGGCTCAAGCTCTGGTGAATATTATTTGTTTGTATTATCCAGTTGTCAAGTGCCCATTTGTTGGTGCTGCTATGGAGCTAAGAAGGATTAGAAAGCTAATCTACAAAAGAAAGTAATGAAATAATAAAACATGAAATGTGCCAGTGGCTAGTCACACAACCCTTACAGTTTCAAATGGGCCAATGACTGGGGAAGAATCAGATCTTCAAGGCCTTTTAAAAATTGGCAGAGTTGGGACCAACTGAATTTTGAGGATTTAATTCTGAATTATGTTTATACAATTCTAAATTAGCAAGATCTAGATTTTCACAGATAAGACAACGTCTTGTTTTGTATCTTGGAGGGTGACAACAAGAGAGAATGCTTTCTCAGTGGTGGCTCCAAATCTGTAATATTTTCCTAAATAGCTTCCGTAGCATCTACATAGCTGTTTTTTGATGCACAGCTAAGATTTTTCAGTGCAGGCTTTTCATTTAAGATGAATTAATTTAAATCCTGATGATATTTTTTTGTATTGTGCTTCTCTATATTTAATTTTATGGATTATTGCACTATCAGAAATAAATAAGATAATTAATAAATTACATAGCCCAAATAATAAAATGTAAGATGTGATAAGCCTATTTGTTCTTTATTACTTACATGCTGGGCACATAATGGAAATAGGTCATAAAAAGCCAGCAAATAAATTAATTGATAAGGATTTGTTGTGCTGCAGTTGTAGAGATGGATGCAGTTTATTATCAACCATAAGGATTATGCATTGTCTCTTAGATACCTTTCCAGCATTGTGCAACAGAAATGTATTTGGTAATGATAATGATTATGTCAGCTCTAAAAACAGTGATAATTAGAAATATTTCCCAATCTTATACTTCCACATTTTTGAGCATAACTTTTATATATGTCTCATAATTGTCATATTTTAGTTTTTCATTCATCCACACTTTTGGAAGCACTAAGAAGCTGCTAATAGGTACTAATGGTTCCTGTTTTTTGTATTTTGGTTTCTATAAATTAATTACTTATCATTTCAGTCATTAACAGTTGGTAGTACTAGATTAAAGTATCCCTTTATAAAATATAAAATGTAAATCTTGTTTTGCTCAATTTCTAGTGCCATGCACATGTAGCTCCTGGTGATACATCCTGGTAGCTTTGACAGAAGTATGGAAGCAGTTTGCTATTGCTTTCTTCTAGGTTTCCATCCCTCCAATCTAGCCTATAACCATGGTTTTCCTTGGTGAAATCACATTCTAGTGAGCCTCCTTATCTTTTAACACCATCACTGGACAACCAGATGCTGACTATTATCTTCTCAGTATATTTCAGTTAATTCTGGACAGAACCTGATCCAAACAGAACAACGTTGGTGCATAATTAAGCATACTTACTCTTTATCTGCAGTTGTTTAAAGATCCAAACTAAGAAAATTATGAATACGGCAGTTGTAGACGTTTTAACATTTTTCTTGTTCATTCAATATTGTAAAGTTGTTAAACCCCCTCCCCCAGTGATTGATTCATTAGATTTATTATTATATGTTGGCAGTTCAATTCATAAACAGATACTTTGATCTTCTAACCTATCTACTTTTAACATCATGGGTTCCTCTAGGGCTAGGCAACCCTCTAGGCATATTTGAAAGTGAAGATAATTCACTCTTAAAGGTTAGAAAAGCTATTAAATCTGTTAAACACTTTCAGCTAGAAATTTCCACTGTGCTAACCTTGTTAATTGAGGTTACATGGAACCATTGAAAGCAAGGAAAGATTTGAAAGACCCCCCAAAAAATCTCTACTAGCACTGCTTCCAAACCGGTCAAATCTGAAGAGTAAAAACCACACATTACTGCTGAAAAATTTAGCTAATACTTGAATAACTGTATATAGTTCTACAATTCAGTGCTATTTATAGAAAAAAATTGACCCGCATGAGAGACTTTTCATAAAATAAAACCCTTTTCTAGTCAAATCACAAAAGCAGTTGTTTATATCTATAAAGAAAACTTTAATAGGCCTGAAACCTTTCAAAATAAAGTACTTTGAGTAAATGGCACAAAAAGTGAACTCTTTATCTTAAGCACAGTGGTGTCTATTATGCTTTGGAATTACATATATAATGAAGAATTTGAAGCTAGGAAGAAATTAGATAATTCTGTCCTAAAACATACCTACAGTAGTAGTTAAAGGAAAGAAAGATAAAATGTTAATACTGATCTTCACAATCCCCAGATTTTCATATTACAGAACATCTGTGCAGAGATCTTAGGCAACTGCAGATACATAATTATGCATCCAACATTTGCAGAGAGATGTGATGTTTTAAGTTTGTACCAAGTACAGGTTACATCAGCTTCTGTTCACTTAGGAATTCACTGAAACGTATTGGTTGACTGGAAATGTTTAAACATTAACATCCAACTGTACAGGGTAAAGATTGGAGGAGGAGGAGACAATTGCTTCTAAGAAATTATGCTGACCACTCTCAGTGGCCTAACAGGATTAGCATTCATAGTGGTAGTGTCATTTATTTATTTATATATATTCTGCCAAGGAAGTCAGTACTGTCATTTAAGCTTAAAGATCAGGTACATCTTCCTGCTCTCAGAAGTAATAATGTCCTTTTTCTTGGTTACATATACCCTCTTTCACAATTTTAATATTTTGCTGACTACAAAAGCGAAACGTGCATGGTAAAGTAAAGACCGACATACAAGTTTTTTATGTTTCTTTCAGATATTTTTCTTATTTTCATAATACTTTATATTTTAGTAAACAATTTACTTGGTTTCAGGGAATTGGAAAGTAAAGGTTAACTGGACAATCACAGAACTAATTGGAGAAGTAAAAGTTTTGCAGTGTTGATCGGGGCTTTTTTTTTTTTCCAAATTAAAAAGTATAAATTTATTTATGTTTGGTCTATTTAGAAAAAAAGTAGTAATTTTCCTTATTTTAATTTATCTTGATTTTTCACAGCAATGCACATTCGGTTGTAATCAAGGAAATTACTTCCTGCTAAAAAAAGAATGCATAAAATGTTTTAAAGACCCTGATTTTAATTGCATCACAAACCCTAGTGAAGCATTAACTATCAATAAAGAATGTATCTTTATTCACAAAGTTGGAGTTTCAACCATTTGCTTTTTGTGGTATTAGGCCAAGTACTGTATATATTACCCAAATATTTTCAGTTGAGAATAATTTGATTCCATAAGATTTTTATTAGATTTGGGTATTCAGAATACACGTGGGGAAAAAAAAGAAAAAAGGAATGCTATCTCTTTAAGATAAGATGCCTCCATGCTTTGCTCACACAAACCAGATCAATTATGGGCAGATTCCTACTGCTGCTTCATTTTTTTTGAAGAGGAGAGATTCTCACGCTAAATATAACAACCGTATTCCTGATAACAGCCTTTTCTTCTTCTCCTGAAATCCACCAAAACTGAAGAAAAATTCAACTGACTGTTCCTAGCAGCTGTGTGGCCCGGAGTTCACGAGCAAAGCTGGCTTCCTGCAGTTCCCTATTCACCACCTGCTTCAAAGGCAGCCTAGCTAGCTATAGTTTGCCAGCCAGGTAGGGTGCCATTGTGCACAGTCTGGGAGGATTAGTGTTAAAGCTGCAGCCACCAGGCCCTTGGTCTCCAGCTGCCATTCAGTCTAACATGGAGAGGCTAAGCCTGGCCAGGGTCATCGTATCCAGCGTGCTCTGAACAGGCAAAGGAGCTTCCTGAGAATAGAATCTTCTTGGCAATCATGGTGCAAGCTTGCGGCACAGCAGGTGCCTCCTAAAACACGTACATTTGTTTGTGCTGGTGTGCTACAGTTTTTTTTCATTTTCATAGAGCTTTTTCATTTTAAAAATAGCGGGGGAATGTTGACAAAAGTTTATATAGACAGATACAGATATAGACATCCAAACATATGCATAATATAAACATTCCTCCATTCACTCATTCATTCATATTGGATGGACTTTTATTTTGGAGATGTGTGTGCATCCATGAAGAGCGGAAGAGACAATTAACCATTTTTAATCTGTATGACTGCTGGATTTCGGGAACGTACATCCAATGTGACAGGGATTTTTTTTTTTTCATCCCCCCGGTGTTCTGACATTCAGTGTTCGTGATTTGTTGAATTTCGTTTTTATGAATAACACCTAAAACCTAGCATTATTATTTTTTTTTGCAGGTGAGGTAACGATGACGTAAAAATAATGGTTAAAAACCTACGATAAAATTGTGGGGGTGAAAAAAAAAATTAAGCAGTAAGATGAGTTGTCATGACGACAGGGATGTTCTGTTGATGAACTGTACTCCTCATTGTCCAATCAGATAGTAGAGCTGAAGCTGGAGCACGAACAGGAAAAGACGCACCTATTCCAAGAACATAACACAGAAAAGGATTGCCTGGTCCGAGACCATGAACGGGAAATTGGGAAACTAGAAAAACAGCTTCGGGCTGCCATGACAGACTACGACAATAAAACCCAGGAATATAGGAAACGAGATGCTCAGGTAATAATAGCATTTCAAAAATAATGGGATTGGCTTTTTTTTTAAAAAAATCCCCTATTTTCCAATGTTCTTTTTGCTGCACGCTTTAATCATTTTAAAAAAACTGGCATATAAACACAATTTTCTTTTTCTTTTGCATTTTCATTACCGCCCCATTCCCTGCCACTACTAAAAAAAGGCTTTCAAAAAAAAAAAGAAAAAAAAGGGAGGGGACCCACAGGTACCCACATTAAGAATCACATGGTGTGCAATAATTTGGCCTATTATTTATAATCTTGTCTCATTTATTGTCATGATAGATTTAAGAAAAACCGTTATTTATTTCCTGTCCATGTATCTATAGTAAACCCCTCCCCTTTTGACTTACTCATTGATTTTTAAAATAAATATCCCTGCAATCAGCTCATATATTCCCTGTATTTTGGTTTTTATTAATTTTTAATGATGTTTGGGAATTATTAATATCATTTTATTTTTGCACGTGATTTATTAAGGATTTGTTTTAATGATAAATGTATGGGAAATTAAGAATTGTGGATTGCTTGCCTTTAAATAAGATTTTTAAATGTGTTTGTGTGTGGGTGTGTAGAAATTTTGTATCTGTATATATTCATATATAAATGCATTAAATTATATAAGCACACATACATTGGGTGATAGTGCATACACATATCTACACATAACAAACATATATCTCTTCTATTTTTATGATCACTGTTAGAAGCCATTTGCCAGAGTAATTCCCAGCTATGGTGTGTTTAATTGCTCAAATGTACAGGTTAAATTTGCATTTTTGATATGAAAAATTTTCTTGATTGATCCAATTAAAAATATATAACCTACGCCAGTTGTTTCGAACATAGTTCTTTATGCAGAATAAATATACTTTAAAAGGCCTGAAGCGAAGACACTTAAAAATTGAAAGTAATAGAATAGGAAAACAATGACTGTTTTAGCAATTCTCAATAGAATAGTTTGAATAATTTGATATAAAATGTGGATAATTATCATCATAGTTTAAAATATATATTATACATAAATACACACACATATATACATATATACACACATATACGCACTTTGGAGCCTTTTCTCCATATTTGAAGGAAAAACATCTCATGTTTTTCCTTAACTGCAAATTCATGAGTTATTGAAAAAAGTTAATAATTTATTTCATTTGCACCATGTCAATAATACAATCCAGAAACTCAGTATTTATGGTTGGTTTAAAAAGAAACAAGGAATAGAACGGAAGAAGGGACTGTGTTCAGTTTTTTTGTTCATTAGTCAAAGAATATGTTATGTTCATATTTAATAACAAATGCATACTTCTTAAAAGATAAATAGCTTCCTCATCATCATCAGTCTTGTTATATGTCCGTATTCCTAATTTGTATACATTTGTGATGTAGGTGCCATTTACCTTTTTAATGTAGTATAGTTTGTTAATATATATAGATCCTTACTATTTTATGTTTAATGAAGCTCATGATACACGAAGATCACTTCTCTAAAATATCGAAACTTTATTTTACAACCAAGGAATTCCGAAGATTTATCTATAGTTGGACTAAAATCATTGGGCTGTTTCATCATTCAATTATTTAATTTACTTTTTTAATCACAGGTATAATGAGTTATGAGAAACAGTTGCAATATCATGTCAAGAGTAGGTGTGTGATGTGGGACCTACCATCTGTAATATTTTTTAATATTTCATGTCCTTGTTCAGTCATCTACCTCTTCATTTCAATTTATAACAGGCTGATGTTTATTATTTTTATATTATTACTTATTTAGTGTATTCAATAACATAGTGCAGTATTTTTTCAGGGCTGTGCAATATTATAAATATTTAATATGTAGTGGGACATATAAATTGCAAATTGTCACTTAAAATTAATTTATTAGTATTTAATATCTTATAAAAATAATCAATTTTATCCTGATAGTGATATTACAGAAATAGTAGTGTGAACCAATTTGATTGGTTTTTGATGTAATCATCATATATTGATGTGTTTTGCTATCATGTTCTATTTTAGTACAAATAGGAATGGAATTTATATTGAACAAATATCAGTAAATAACAATAAAAATCATATGTTACTTGCATGTACTGAATTTGCACATTGTGCTTCTTCTCCACAATTTTTAATTGATTTTTGGAGGTAATTTTATTTCCTTTGTATAAATAACGTGAGTAAACAAATGATTATTACTCTACCAATGAGAAATTTAGTAGTCTCATATTTTTTCTTACTCTGAAAGACCAAGCTGATCCACAGGTTTAGATTTTGAGGCATAGTTATGAAGATGTGTGATTATTTTTTACTTTAAACATTTAATAAATTACCATTATGAAAGGGTGCTAGAAAGTTTTGATTATGATTTTATTTTTTAAAATGTTTGTACTCTTTTTTTAACCATTAAAAACAATTCAGTAATGTTTATTGAAAACTTAAATAAAGATACTGCTTAGAGATATTTGGGTATATGCAGTTACTCTGGAATAGTATGCAGAATATTTAGATGATCTCTTCTAAAATTAAAATTGTAACAAAGCATAACTTTTTTCATATTTTTTTTAAATGCCTTTTAGAAGCATTTATAAAAAATTTTATTACTTTCTAGCAGATGTATCATTTCACCATCACATAATTTCTTTTGTCCTGTTAATGACACCTTTTCTCTAGCATGTTACCCATTTTTTGCCACTTGAGTAAACCAGTAATCTTGGGCTTCCTATCTGCCTGGCTATCTGCCTATTATTCTCTGATTTCAATTATTTCAATTCTGTCAGCACAACTGTATAAACATAAAAGTACAATAATAATGGTTACATTGCAACACTCACATAATGATGAACCCAATACTCTTTGAAATAACTAGGTTTTCAGTAGCTTGCCTTTGGATACAGATGGAAAGAAATGTGTTTTACAAAATCTTAGTACTTTGTTTTCATTGTAAAACGGGCATGATAAAAATAAAGTCTTTCCCCTCATTTTCTGTTCCATTTACAAATGTTGCTGTATTAATTGAGTAAAGGAATTAGACTTCATGACTAATGATACAGAAAGGATACATATCCACTTGATCCTAAATACTTGTCATCCATTAAGGGAATGTATGTTCAAATACTCATGTGATTGGACAAATAAAAACTACTGTGAATGCTTTCATGTAGGGAAGCAAACTCTCCTAGATAAGATACAGCATAATTTCTCTTAGCTTTCTTCCTCCCCCTTGCATCAGCAACTGTTTTTGCCTGTTTGCTCTCTTGTTAATCTTTTTCTGTTTTGTATTTTTCCTCATTGAAGATTTACTTTCTTCCATTAAATTATATTTCTATTCCTGATTTGCCTTTAAAACCCAACTCCTCTGTTTTTTAATATTTTACAAATAATGAGAATTCTAATCTCTTTTTTCCTCTAAGTCTTTCGTTTTTTGCCCCAGTTGAGGCAAATGAACATTAATAATTTTACTTAGAAATGAGAGAAATTTTGAATTTGAAAGCTAGACTGAAAAAGATCCACACAAATTGGATCTTTTTGAAATGCTGGAATCTTTCCTCTTTCTTTGAGAGTAATAAGTCAGTATCATCACTGGGCTTTACATTAAGGGAAAGAGGGAACAGCACAGTGCAAGAAAATTATTTACTCTCTCATTATTCTTTCTGTTAAAAAAAAATCCGTGTTCTGTATAATTATAAGATACATCCTCTCCTTCCTCTCACTTTTCCCCATCTTAAAAAGGGACACATTCTCTTATAGACACAATTTAAGTTCTTCTGCACTTCCAGGACCTTGGATCTATTTCAGGGGGTCAAAAGAATTGAATTCATGTTTTTTTCCAATTCTTTTTGTATTGAAAGAAAAACATAACATAAATATTGTTATGAAATATTTCTATCCAAAACATACTTGTATAAACAAAAATAATACTGTGTTAATATGGCTTTAAAAATGGAAACAATTTTGCATAAACAATCCTTAAATTTTCTTTGAAGATTCTGCCATACTCTTATAGCCAATGTTATTTCCAATACCTTTAAATCTCAGTTCACTTTGGATATATACTGTCTCTGTGTGTGTGTGTGTGTATACACACACACACACACACACACACCAAAGAACCCCAGGTATGCAACTTACACACATAATTTGATAGTGATTTTTATAATTCTACTTGAACCACAGGGTAACAATTTCAAATATTAAACTTTGAGTCCAAGTTGATATTATATTTCCAATGGAAAAGCTTTCCGCCAATGAAACTTGCCCAATAGTTTCTACTTGAGTTTCATTCACATCAATTAATGGTAACCACTGAAATGTATGAGTATAGCTTTTGTTAATGAATGTCATCATACTTGACATCTTTAATTATACTCTAGAGTTGTTTTTCTTTTTTCACAGTATCACTACACTACAATGATCTATATTTATAAGTTAACAGTGCCTGTAACCGTAAGCATCAAAATGTCCCTGAAAGTTTGTAGTCAATGTATTCATTCCAATACTTCCAAAAATTGTTATCAGATTGTAATTTTTAATATAGCAATGGGTGACTGTAATTAAATACACAACTCCTGTGCTGTCCTGCATTAGACTATATTTAATTTTTACTAAGCCTAAATATAAATGTAATCTAATTTAATTTCTCTCCTGTTATAACCCCCAGCATATGACTCAAAGGCCAAGTGAAACCTTCACTCTAGAAAAAACTAGGTATTCCTGGTTCAAAGTAATTTCTTCTTCCTTTAGTACCTTGAAGTGATGGTTTAGAGTGGATAGATAATTGCATTTGCTCCAAACTATAATTCCAAATATAAGGAATGAAACAGAACTTTAATTATTGAACAGGTTTACCTTATTTCTACCATTTCCTACTTTCAGCCCTTAAACAAATGTTACAAATATATCATCTGTAGCATTACATAATAAACCAACTGAGCATAGTTGGATTAATTTGGATTAGATTAATATAATTAATGAATT